TCCAATGATAAGATCTTTCTTAAAGTGTTACTAAACCCACAACAGTAAAATCAGTCTGTATATGTAGTAAAGCATGCTTGATATACTCCATGTGGAAACTGAGGGGCTAATCCTGGCTTCTCTGATACTCCCCCTTCTTCTATTGTCCCCAATCCATCTGCCGTAGTATAGAGCAGCAGTGGCAAGTCTGCACATGTTGCGTGTGTACTGCTAGAGTTTTTTTTTTTTTTTTGGGGGGGGGGGGTGGATGTGGGCCAATCAGCACTGCCCGGACAGAGGGTCAGGTGTAATTAAGTCTCATAGGACAGTCAAGGGAGAATGAAATCTCATACAAGATTAACCAGTGCTTGGACAGACTGATAGAAGTCACAAGACTGTTGTAACTGCTGATGAGAAAAGGTATTTAGCAGTTATTTACTCAAACTGCACTTCCATGTTCTGTGTACTGTGGAAGACCGGATATAGCGAATACAGGGTCATGAGTTTAGAAACCCTTTAAAGGCTTAGGTGTTCTCTTTTGATTTGGAATGATTATACCACACATTAGCAAAGGGTTTTTCTAAAGGTAACAAGGAGGTTGTGGAGGCCTGAGCTAGGCAAGGGATTTTAAAAAGATTATTATTATACAGTATTTATATAGCACCAAAAGGTTTGCTCAGCGCTGTACATTATAGTGGGGGGACAGTACATGAGACAATACAGTAACAAAACAAAACACAAGTTGATCAAGGGCCCTGCTCTTTCGAGCTTACAATCTAGGAGATTGTAAGCTCGAAAGGAGCTTTGTTTGAAAGGATTTACATTGTTTGAAAGGATTCATTCTGCTGTAGGAAAAACTATTTACAAGTGGCATAGATTTAAATTTGTCCAGGACTTTCCCACCCAGCAAATTCAATTTAAGAGCTGACCATTCAATGCTAAAGAGTCCATAAGAACCCCAACATTTTATCGCTGGATCAGTAGGTAAATCTTGCATGTACATGCACCTATAATCAGACAGAGATTACACCAATGTACTTGCATAGCAGGTGTGTTAAGAAAAAGATTTTGTGGTCTAAAAAGACCTTTACAGCAAAACTACAGATTGCTGCTGAATACAGAGACAAATGCCAGGGCTTCAGAAACAATCTGTTATGGAGTGGTCAATCACAGATGACAGTTGCTTGAACAGTAGACATGTTTAGCACAAACTAAGACAGCATTTTCAGGAGATAAACCTCATACCAACTGTTAAGCATGGTGGTGAACATGTTATGGGATGGAGGTTCTTTGCTGCGTTAGGGCGTCAGTGGCTTGCAGGTATTCAGTCAGTTAGGAATTCTGCATTATATCAAAAAGTGTGCTTAATGAGAATGTGAGGCCATCTGTCTGAAACCTGAAGTTCAACTGATAAAGATCTTTTAATGCAGTAATCATCCACTATACTACCAAATATATCAGGGAATAGCTCAAAAAGGGTCCTCATTTTTAAGGGGGGGGGTTGAAACTGCCAGATCATGCAAGAAAATCCACAAACATCCTGCAACTGAAGACATTTTGCATGAAGAAAAAATGATCAAGAACTTTCACTGATTCAATGTCAGAGCCTGAGGGCAGTAATGCATATTCCGACAAGTAGTAATCTCAGCTAAAAAGGGGGCAATACCTGCTTTTGAGGCCAAGGGTGCACTTATTTTTCCACAGTGCATCATTACAGCTCTTGATAGTTTATTAGATAAATAAGTGAAAAGGTTTTTTTTTTTTGTGCATTTTTATTCAAATATAGTACCTCTATCTGTAAGCACAATTGGAATAAAGATCTGATGTTTTTCTGTTTCAATATGTAGATCAGCAATTTTCATGGGATGTATTGACTTTTGTCACATGACTGCACATGCTATTCCAATGTGAATTTTCTTTTGGAAGGGGTGTCCAATGAACCGCAAATGTGTGGCCGAACCGTTAATAGCAAGACTGCTTGGAGATAGAGACATGCAGCTTAGTCTTTTCATGTATGGCCAGTTTTGGTCATAATCTCTCCTTTAATGTCTTTTTCAGGCCTTGAAATTAAACTAAATCTAGCAATATATGTTTAGATTTTCCTTCAGGCTGGCTGCACGCGAGGAGATCATTTGATTTCCCAATCCGTGCTTAGGCTGGCCATACATGGGTCGATTTTTGAACAATTTTTTGTTTGAAAAATCGGACCTAAGAATAATCGGCCGATTTTCACTCTGCTAGTGGAGAAATGGTCCCGGCCGCTTTTCGTGGTTTCTCCCCATTTTGTTTATCAGGCATGCTGGAAAATTCGTGAAAAACGACCGATTTTCAAAATCATTGGTGGCACCATCGGATTACAGAATGAACGATGTTTTCAATCGAAAAATCGACCAATTAATGGCCTGCTTAAAAATAGCATGACTGGAGGAATCTCAGTTGCCAGCTATTGTATTCAGACAGTCACACCTGTGGCTGCCTGAATACAAGAACAGTGATTGCATATAATTGGATGCAGTCACTGTTTGACTGACAGTTTTCCACCTTGCTCAGTCGATTTTTTAGTTGTTTATTCCTGAACCTGGTGGGGCAGATGGGCTTGAATTCTGGCCGATTCAACAAGAATCGGCTGAAATTCGAACTATGCATGGCTGGCATTAATCGAATACATATTTTCTCTGATATGCACTAGATGTAGGAAAGCCATTTATTCCCTTTATTGCCAATATTTCTAAATAAAAAGTGCTAGAAACAGATGAGTGGAAAATCACAAATGGTCATAAAACTATTTCATAATAAACACGCTCAGACTTTAGTTTTCATTTGCTTCTGTTCAAGGTGTTTATTGCATCTCACAGGGCATACATGCACTGGGTTTTTTAACCAAGATACAAAGGATAGCCATTTTGAAATTGTAAATATTTTTATCCTCATTTAGAGTGTATATTATCCCCACAGTAAATTCAGATACAACCATCAATTAAATAAATTTAAAGACTTACAACAGGTGAACATCGCCCCTATCCAATGAACTCTTACAGACAGCTGTCAAGCCACTTGTAACACTGATCAACAGTGACCTTATTTGTATGCACCAAAACCTTAAAGCCAAGCTGTCAGCAAAAAAGGTTGTGTGTGTGTATGTGTGGGGGGGGGGGAAAAAACAAAAAAAAAAAAAAAAAAAAAAAAAACACAATTATGTACAGAGGGGCAGACCATAGAGATCTGCATGAAGTTCAGCCACAAACAGTACAAAAACTAATCACAAACTCAGGAAAAAAAAAACATGCTAAAATTAACAAAAAAAAAAAATACAATAAAACTTAAAATGTGAAAAAAATAAAAAATACATACGTTTGTATTTTTTGACAAGAGACACTCCACATAAACCTAGTCATCCTGCTGTAACTACAATAAATACTTAAGTGCATTTTTTCTCAAAATGGATGAGTATGCTAGTTTTGCTGTCAAAAAAAAAAATAAAAAATAAAATATATACTTAAATTTAAAACAAAAAGATAAATATATTTCTGATATGATTTATAGCCATAGGAGTACATATCTACATATGTGGAGAGATATCTTTTCAAATTCCATTCAAATTATAAATAAACATATAAAGTACCACAAAAACAGTTTGCTTTCACAACTGATAGGCCTGTGGGTAATTCTCACGCAGACACAAAACAGGTTTGTATTGGAGTGTTTTTCTGGTGTGATCACACAATATTTCATATTTGATAGAAGAAACAGAGGATGTCCAAACATTATATATACATCAAAACGTTCATAAAACACTGACACATCGCTCAAGACTGCTCAGCACACAAACAGCTGCGTGTTCTGCCCCCACCAGGTAGGACCAGAAAAGCGTTAGAAGGCATGGGAAACTCACATCCACTCATGGAAAATTGGAAAAACACAGAAAACCGAGATACACAAAAAGAAAACAAAAAAACAAAAAAATATGATATATAGTAGCGGGTAACTGCTAAGGTTAATACACAATCCTAATGGTTACTTTCACAGCTGTGCTACGCGTTTCAGAAGAGAAAAATCTAAGCACTGGGTTTGGTACTGGTGGCTCACTTTGAAACTCTGAGCAGCAATCTGTTCTTCAAAGGCTCCGAACTCACATTTCTCATGTCAAAAAAACAGCATCTGGAAAGAAAAATGTATTTTATCGGTATTATGAATATTTCACAAATCGCACAAGCATATTTTTTTAAGGTTTTAAAGGGTTTTCTATATTAATTCCAAATGTGTTGCAACTGAAATGTAAACCCATTTGCTTCTGACCACTCACAAAGATGCTTCCTACTCATCAGGCCACCCCTAGTGGGTAGAAACTCAACCAGTGTTCCACCAGAGGTCTTGGTTCTAAGATTGTGCAACTCCCTACAAGTATTTACATTTAGTAGATCTCTTCGGATTTCCTCAGTTATTGCCACTGTGTTGGTGTTACACAAAAATGCAAAGTCTTCTATTCATCTTGTACCCCACTAGGATCACAAGTGTGGAGAAGGGGAACAGAACCATATCTTCCATATAACAGTCAGGATAGTGGAGCTCAGATTCAATTGAGGCACTGTTTCATCACTTTCGAGAGATAATTTAAGGGCATAAACCACTGCTCTCAACCATCTTAGTGATCCTCTATGCTTTTATATTCTAAAAGAAAGCAAGGATGCTACACAGGCAAAGTATACTATAGACAATGTAATAAAGTCACTAAAATATAAAAGAACATAGCAGGTTTTAGGTTCTAATATGGGAAGCGGTGTTTATTTAGTTACGTTATTGCTTGGGTTGGGGAAAAAAAAACACCTTGCATGCTCAGAAACCTAAGCATGCAGTTGAAAGAATATTTAAAACATTATAAACAAATCTCTAGAAGCACTCTAAATTGCATTAGCTGAAGATAGTGCTGGCAGTTTTAGAAGAATTACCTTAGTCACCCTGGGAATTAAACTGAAAAACTATAAAGTTCAGAAATGTAGAGAAAAAGTATTTACCTTACAAGTTTACAAGAAGTCTTTAATGTTAAGATCTGCTAAGGGATCCTTTGATGGGGGTTTTTTGGGGCTCTGTGAAGCAGGAGTCAGACTTGGAGAAAGCTGCAAATCCATAAAATGGAAAACTGTTAATTACCAACACAAGAAGCCTGCAGAAGTTAATGTAAATTGCAAAAAAAAAAAAAAAAAAAAAAAAAAAAAACCCCAAAAGACAAATTATATGTTACAAACAGAACCTTACCGGAGCACCAGGAACAGAAGCTCCAGCAAATGACGGCCTAATCATAGGCTGGCCATACATCATTGGCTGTTGGGGCATCATTGGTACCCCTGTCCCAGATGAAGCCTAGACAAAAATACAAAAATAAAAAAATGGGTTCTCTGTTGTCTTTAAAAAAGGAATGTATAAGGTTTTGCTAATATTTAATTTTTAGTCTTGAGCAAAGCTAAAAAACCAAACAAAAAAAAAAAAAAGTAAGATATATATATATATATATATATATATATATATATATATATAGATATATATATATATATATATATATATATATATATATATATCTTACCTTTTCTTTTTAGCTTTGCTCAAGACTAAAAATTATTTTAGCTAGGAAAGGATGAACTACTGCATCTTATTATTGCATTTGCAGCCAGTATGTGGCACTTTAAGTTCCTTTTTCGTGCTTATCAACCCAATGTAAGCTGCTACACCAAAAAAAAAAAAAAAAAAAAAAAAGTTGTCATAGCTGAAGTTTAATTCTACACACAACTATATTAGTCAGAGAAGCAACTCAACCCATCTCCCTGTCTGCTCTGTATATGAGGGGGCATATGAAGATAAAAAAAGGAGAAGTACAGCCAAAGCTCATGGGTCACAGGAGTGAAGTTCATTCTGCACTCCTGTGACCCATTTTCAGCCAACAGCGGGCTTTAGCCTACAAGCCATTGGGGACACCAGGAATCGCGGCTGAAAAACTCCCAGTTAGCAATTCCAATGTCCTGCTCTGAAAATAATTGGACGCTCACTCTCCACATTTCAAGAGAAAACCAACAGTTTTCACATGCTAGCAACAAGGATGTGGGGATTGCCAACATGGAGTTTTTCTGCCAGGCTTCCAGGGAGATCCAAATAGCCTATAGTTACAACAATAAAATGAATGAACATGTTACAATAACTACTGGGGCCCCTTGACTACATAGGCCATTTTCTGGGAAAGGTAAAACGTAATCTTTAACAAACCTTTACAGAAAGATCTTACACACAGGGTACAATGTAGATTTATGCACCAATCAAGATAGGCAATGCAGTCAGCCAATTTAGTATATTGAGTGTCACTGCCGCAATCATTGAATAAGGATGTTCAATGTAGGGTCCAAAAATACATTTATAGAACATTCTGAAGCACAATGTAGAATGTAGTTTTCCAACTCTAATTTTTTGCAGATATCTCTTCTAGAAAATTCATTAAAAAAAAAAAAAAAAAAAAAAAAAAAAAAAAAAAAAAAAAACACACTACACATAGGGGTTTATTTGCTAGAGCTCGTTCACTCAGAATCTGGTGCAGCTGTACATGTTAGCCAATCAGTTTCTAACCTCAGCTTGTTCAATTAAGCTTTAGCAATAATATCTGGAAGCGGATTGGTTTTATATGCAGAAGTGCATGAGACTCTGAGTAAACCAGCTTTAGTAAATAAACCCCACAGTTTATAATATGTAGGACAGCAGTCCAAGAAGGACTAATGCAGATCTGTTTTCCTGGTATTTTGTGCAACCCCTGCATGTCACTAGTACCGTATATAAACCCACTTTTCTGACAAAATATCAAAACGTGCCTGAAAATAGGTAATAACACCGTTCTAATAAGCTTTGCTGATTTAGCACCCTCCTAGTTAGGGTAGGCTGCTAGGAAACTTTAATTTGGCTCCCCTGTGTTCAGAGCAGCAGGGGACTAATTATTTAGGGTTGCACAGGGTTTCTTAGGCTGCTGCTCTGTTACTTTGCCCGTCTTCTAGAGATTTCTAGATCATAGTGGGAGGAAGGACAGAATATGCAGCCTGAATATTTATGGCACTCTAGCCAATCCTTTGGGAGGTGTGCCCAGAATGTGGAGGGACAGCCCATAAGCAGTCTGAGGCCTGAGCAGAAGGGTGGTGTTCCTGGGTCCAGTGTTGCAGGAGGAGACTCCTGTGCATGGGCTCTGCCACCTGCGGCAGAAGTCTGGGAGGAAGCCAGCCTGAAGACACAAAGATCCCAGCTAGGCTTAGCTGGGGCCCTATTTACAAGTCCTATTCTAAGGACCTAATTGTGTCAGGAGAAGCTTATGGGAGAGAGCCAGAAGGAAGCTGTAGGAAAGAGACCAAGTTTTCCAGAGGAGGTGTGAGTCTACATCTCCCTTGCTAGGAAGAGCCTGGTTGTTATTGGCAGGAGGCCACCAATGATCCAGTGCTGCAGAGTGTGACAGTGTGTTGCTTTGAACTGTGAAAGGAGTACAGGTCAAAGCCAGCCTAGAGATACAGTGGAACATGTCTTTGTACAACCTGAGGACTTCTCAACTGCACAGTTTCACAGTGATGGGGTATCCCATGCTCCCTATCCAAATTCATCATTCTCCAATACAAACACAAAAAAAAAAAACCTAGACTAATCTTTGAGCCAGAGGAAGAATGCTGAAATGTTGTGTGCCTGGCTGTGTGTGCTCTAAGGGGGGGGGGGGGAATAGGACTCAAATTACCAGCAGTTATCTAGAGGGTGTGCTGCACTAAGACATTCAGTTTGAAAGTACATTTGAGTATAACCAAAGAACTTACTAGACCAAACCCAGGTGCTGCTGTTGCCGCTGCTGGCTGTGCACTGGGAGTAGTTGTTGCTGAGGAGGGTCCTCCGCTTGCTGGAGGAACAGTTCCTTGCTAAAAGAAAAAAAAAAAATTGCAATAATAATTAGATTTTTTACATGCATTTAAAGCTTTTGTTCTGTTTAGAAAAAGAAGAGATGAGTTTGTACACCTTTATTCTTATTTTTAGAAGGCAATGATGTATTAGATAGTAATTTTATCTAAGAATGTAATCATTCTTTTCTGGATGGAAACTTGAAGAATGGTGACGTTCATTATAGACTGAAGCTACCTTGTGTAGGCCACTAAAGTCAGCCCCTTTAGGATGCTGCATTAGTGCAGCAGTAAGTGAATTTAAAATTGAAGTCCAGGTAAGACAACCTCTCCTTGTGGTGGGAAACCTCTGCACTTAAAAAGGTAAATGCTTGCCCAGAACATCCAGAAAAAGGACCATTTTTACTTGAATGATCCTTCACTCTAGCAGACTCCCTCCATGCTAAAAGACCGGGTTCCCCACAGCCTTTTCTCCCTCACACTCTGGCGATCATGGGCACTCTGACGTCATCAAGTACAATGCAGGGTCAACTGCCCTGTACTGTACATAAGGCTGAGGGACTGCTCACAACACTAGAAGATTGGGACGCCTCCTGCTGCTGGAGCTAGATAAGAAAAAGTGCTTTTTCCTGTTCCCCTAGGCCAGAGGTGGGCAACTGTGGCCCTCCAGCTGTTGGTGAACTACAAGTCCCATCATGTGTCTGCCTTTGAGAGTCATGCTTGTAACTGTCAGTTTTGCAATGCCTCATGGGACTTGTAGTTCTACAACAGCTGGAGGGCCACAGTTGCTCCATCCTGCCCTAGGCATAAGTGAGCATTTAACACTTACAGTACAGAGGGAACCCCACTGCGGGGAGAGTTTGTTTTCCCTGGAAATAGACCTTAAACACATCTCTGAGATAAACATAGATCTATAATCACTAACTGGTAAAAGCACAAAACAAACAAAAACACACCAAAATTTAAAAAACACACTTGGACTTTTTTCCTATCTTTACTCTTATTTTTTTTCTATGTGAGCCATTTAGATCTATGTACATGTACTGTTCATTAACATACATTCCAGCCCATTCCATTAATGCATGTGGAGTTTAATAGTCTGGTCAAATGAATGGGCTGCTAACATTGCACATCCAGCATTTTTCCAAAGCAACACGCCACAGCCCACGGTTACAGTACATTGAGGTGTGCTGTAGCATATGCACATAATTTCCATGAGTTGTGCTCATTTGTAAATTGCCACAATGCACCCAACTGACAGATCTGAAGGGGCCTTGAAGGTTTCTGCCCCCGATCAGCAAGAGTGCCTGGTGCCGAGTCCCCATCTTCATCCCGTTCTATGAATCCAGACATGCAGGACTAATAGACTGTAGTGAAAATATGCACAAGGTAATGTACAAGTACGCTCTAAACAAAAGCTACAAAAACAAATCAATTTTCAGCTTTTGGGTTTAGAAAGTCCGAGAGGGACTATTTATAAAAAAGTAAATGTGTAATTTCCCAACGTGTCTTGGACTTGATCTTCATATTCATAATGCTTTGTGCAAGCACCTCAATTAAAGCCCAACTCTGCCCCACTTTTTATCAGATTACCAACAAGTCAAAACCTCTGCCAGGTTTTTATTTATACTTCCCTCGACTTGGGGAATTCACTGGAAGATGGACTGATGGGGAATCAACAAAAACACTTTTTTGCTAGAAGAGTGGTGAAATATTGGAAAAATGCTCAGATTTGTATTGCTTTCCTTGTCTCTTTGTCCAAGTGAGAACCTTTCTGGTTGTTTTTGTATCTTTGTCACAAAACAGGTAGCAGAGACAAGTCTTCTTATTGGAATCAAAAACAGGAATACATGACAGTTTTCAAACCTTTCCCCACTCTGCTTGAAGGCAACTTTTTTTAGTTTCTTGTAAACTTAAAAATCTAAAGCGTTATTAATAAAAATTCTAGACATAAAATTACCATAGACGCAGTTGATGGGCTACCAGTTGCCCATGTTGCTGGAGCTACTTTTGGCTGCCAGTTGGCACCACCTGTGAGTTTCTTTTCTCCTGCATTCCACTGAAGGTCTCCCCTACAGAACATGGAAATATTATATATATATATATATTGCCTTTGTCCAAACAGGTTGCTACTGAAATACATTTCTATGTTATTTTCCTTTCTACAATCAAGAGAAAACCATTTCAATTTGTCCCACCCTCCACTGTTTAGTTTCAACAAGGAAATCTGTCCAATCATATATTTTACACAATTTCAAGGAGCAGTTTGTAGAATAAGCTATAGTGTAATTGGTGTGCATCCACATGGAATTATTGTATAATACAATTGTTAATACTAATAAAATCAATTAATGCTTGTTTTGCAGGCTGAACTTTGAAATGAATGTTGTAATGATTTTCAGGATGTGTCTGCTTTCTTCTCCTGTTACGATTTCATGATGAACATGCAAATGACCTTCTCAATTTCCATTTATATGTTAGAGCTATACATACTTTGGCCACTAATGTAATTTTGTTTGTGTGCAAAGCTGGAGCCCAAACCTGTAGAGTAGAGGTGTATATAACAGAAGAGTACAGAACACATCCAGTTGAATGCAACTAATTACTACTACCTATACCCTACACAAAGAAGAGTTATCTTCTGAAAAGATGTTAACAACATCCTAAAGATTGTACAGCAAATAGTCAGAAATCAGTGAAATCTTCCAGCAAATTATCTAACAGACTTTGACCATACAGGGATCTTTGCAACATTTTTTTAATAAAAATGAGAAAATTAGAGGAAAAAAAAAAAAAAAAAAAGTTTTATTGCTTTTTATTACATTAATTTCGCTTAAGAAATGCACTTAGTTAATCATGGTTGAACAAAATATATAGTGTGTACATCAATGTTTTGAACTGGATTTGCAAAATGTACTCTCAAATACTTACTTTTTACCAGGGGTGCCAGAAATTCCAAGATCTAAAAAAAGTAAATAGTAGATTAGGATATATCCATCAGAACAGCAGTCGAATGGCAGTCCTGTACTATAAATAATTATGAAGTGTTGCCCTGGCCCAATTGTGAGCACATTTTTGGCTAGCTTTTAAGTGTTAAACAGAAGTTAAGAGGAAAAAAAAAAGATAGAAAGGGAGAAAAAAAGGGGGGGGGGGAGAAAAAAGGGGGGGAGAAAAAAGGGAGGAAGAAAAAAGGGGGGAAGAAAAAAAGGGGGGGAGGAAAAAAGGGGGGAGGAAAGGAAAAGGGGGAGGAAAAAAAAAGGAAAAAAGGGAGAAAAAAAAGGGGAGGAAAAGGAGAAAAAAAAGGAGAAAAAAGGGGAGGAAAAAAGGAGAAAAAAGGAGAAAAAAGGGGAGGAAAAAAGGAGAAAAAAGGGGAGGAAAAAAGGAGAAAAAAGGGGAGGAAAAAAGGAGAAAAAAGGAAAAAAAAGGGGAGGAAAAAAGGAGAAAAAAAAAAATGGAGAAAAAAAAAGGATAAAAGGGAGAAAAAAAAAAAGGAAAAAAAGGGAAAAAAAAAAAAAAAAAAAAGGGAAAAAAAGGGAAGGGAGAAAAAAAAAAAGGGAACAAAAGGGAAGGGGAGAAAAAAAAAAAAAAAAAGGGAACAAAAGGGAAGGGGAGAAAAAAAAAAAGGGAAAAAAAGGGAAGGGGAGAAAAAAAAGGAAAAAAGGGAAGGGGAGAAAAAAAAAAAAAAGGAAAAAAAAAAAAAAAAGAAAAGGGGAAAGGGAGAAAAAGGGGGGAGGGGAAAGGGAGAAAAAGGGGAGGGGAAAGGGAGGGAAAGGGGAGGGGAAAGGGAGGGAAAGGGGAGGGGAAAGGGAGGGAAAGGGGGCAGACAAGAGAGCAAAGGAGGGAGAGAGAAAAAAAAAAAAAAAGAAAGAATGAGAACTGTATTTGATAAAAACATTCTACTTACTACCAACTAAGCTTGCAAGAGAAGAATCAAGGTCACTACCAAGACCTTTGCTGGAGCCACTGACATTATTTGCAGATGTGAGTGGAGATGATGGGGTCTGCGAAGAAGGGGTCATGGTAGGAATAAGAAGATCTCCTATGCCATCAAATACTAAAGCAGGAAGATGAAAAAAAAAAAAAAAAGGGATAGAGGCCAAATTATGTATTTATATTTAATCAGCACAATTCCAGCATTTGAAAAGTACAGTTATGCTTTCTTCTAGAAACACCTTATTCAATATTTCTATTACCAGTTTTACTGAACTTGATAAAAAGATATTTAATTTATTAGCATTATGTTTTTTTCTACACTGCTTTTAGGAATAAAATGTTTACAGTAACAAAAAGAAGCTATAAACAATATATAGCATAAATAAGAAAAATAGAATTCTTGCACTTTGAATTAAGCTTTCACCGAGTAAATGGCTTTAACCATTTTTTTTTTACTCTTGTTCTAGAAAGGGTTTTATATATTACAGTAAAGCCTAACTGCAGGTTTCTTGCGACTTTAAATAGTTCATTTGGACCAAGCTGGTCCAAACAAACAGTTTCCTTCACCAACAAATGAGGCTACTGGAAGATCTGTACAAACTGCGCATAGCATCCGCTACATACTGTATACAACACTGTGCTCCAGCAGCCAGATGGGGACTTTCCATCCCGCTCCCAGAACAGAACGGAGTCGGGCTGAGCTCGTCCTGACTCGATTTTGTTTTAGGAATAAGACTTAAGTCCCCATACCACTGTCAGAAGACAACTCTGAGTACTGTAAGTAGCTGATGTTACATACAGTGTTGATAAAGTGATATTAGTAAAGGAAATAGTTGCTTGGTCCAACTTTGTATATTGCATTATTAAAGGTCACAAGAGTGAAGCTTTAAAAAAAAAAAAAAAAAAGTGTTAGCTCACATTTCAGAAAAAATGAAAAGGTGAACTAAAACTGTACACCCTCCCGACCTACCTGGTCACCTGGCTGTACTTTCTTCTGTGGGTGTGGAGTTGTCGGCACCCATGCAACCTGTGTTGCAGTCTGGAGATATGAAATCCTTGCTCTTCTCTGTGCAGGGCCCGAGAGACAGATCAGAGAAATTCTGATAGGTCAGCTTTGGCACAGAGCATTGATCTGATCCATCCTGAAAGTGCTGCACAGAGAAGAGGGAGAAGAGCAAGGATTTCAAATCCAGCTACATGGGCTGTGTGGGCACTGACAGCTCTTCACTGACATAGGTCAGTACAGCAGGGACAGGGGAGTGATGGGTGTATGATTTGATTTTAGTTCACCTGAAGAAAAAAAAAAAAGTGAAATAATCCTTTAAATAATTCTCAGTCATATAATGCTACTTCTGTCATCATATCCTTCCTATAAGCTTTTCTAGCCTATAAGAAGCTATCCATTAAAAAAAAACCAAACAAACCTATTTGGTTTGCAAACATATGAATATCATGTACTGTGGGGTATAAAATATGTCTTGGCAGTGTAAATGTCAATGTTGAACAAATAGGCATTCTAACAAGACATGCAGCAGCATAGCACAGGATATTGGTTCTGTTTTCTAGGGATGCACTACAGGTTGCTTATTTAGAGGTTTAAAAATAAAAAAATAAAAACTCACCAAATAAATATTGCGGCACAGCCCAGCATGGAAAGTGTCAAAAATGACAAAACAAACGGACAAATAAAACAACAGCACAGAGGTACCTAAAGCAGTTACAGCAAGTACAGAAAAGCTTAGCATTTATATGCAGTGCACTGCCCTATCTATGACATGCATAGTAAATTGCAAATATCATATAAAGTGTTTTGCGATGTCATTGTGTAAACTAAGCATGTAGTCATGCAAATACAATGCTTGTGTCTACTCTGTGTCCTACTATGTATAAGAAGATAAATCAACATTTCTAATAACATACTACATATTAACATTATATTCAGAGTATGTCTAGAGTGCAGTGCTCAATTACAAACACTAAAACATATTTTATTGAATGCTACACCAAGCAACAGAAAATGGTTGAACAGATATGCTTGATATTCAGACCTAATCTGACCTACATTAGAACGAATGGTGGCAATACCAGTCAGTAATATGGACAGATATAACACCAAGAACAATGGGCAGACAGTTTACCGTCCTTAATTATACAGAAATAACCTATTGTTTACCCTAAAAGTTAATAAAATCAACAGTGAGACAATTGTCCAACCTTAAATATAGGAAAATTAGCCATAACCTAATAATGGCCGTACAAGTTAGTAAGATGGATGTATATAAAGAACAATGAGCAGTGAGTCAGCGGCCTATTCTTAAAGCTACAGGTCATAACCACCTTTATGGCTCAGGGGACATGAGTAGTGGACCAACCTTGCACATTACCTCAGTAGGCAATTAATAATTATTGCAAACATTATACTCACAAGAGTAGCAGTATAAAAGATATATAACATCCAAAACCAAAACACTGGGTTAGGAGACACGTGCAAATCTCATCAAGGGAGATAATCTCTTGGTCAAGCTGGCGCATTTCGAAGGGGGGTCCCTTCTTCCTCAGAGCTTTGAGGAAGAAGGGACCCCCTATTGGATAGAGTGCAGAGGAATTAGAACGTATGTCGCGTTTTATTGATATATGTGTCCCGGTTAACCCTTCCGATTTGTCTTGTTTACCATTTTCATTGAAAGTGAAAATAAATAAATAAAAGCCCACATTTTGGGTTGTCCCCAGAAATGTGATAGAGGGAAAATCTTCCAAAGGGGACACTAGTTCTGGTGGCCTGGGGGTCTCCAAGAAATTCCTTTTATGTGCAGGGATTTCCTCTCACTTACTTTTTGGCTATTGGACAGGAAGTGAAGGGAAATCTGCAATGGGACACAGACGGTGAAAAAAAAAAAAAAAAAGTCTGAAGGGGGTTATAACCCGCCCTTGCTCTATCCAAAATGAAAAGGTTTTGCCTATACTTCTACTTTAAAGCTAGACTCACATTAGAGTCTTTGAGGAACTTTGAGAATTATTTACTTCACAGTACAATCAGCTTGGGTGGAGGAGGGGGAGGTTTCAGGGATAGCTTGTTTTAAAGTCAATTTACTGCTCATTAAGAATATTAGCTCACGGGCAGCACAGTGGCTAAATGGTTAGCACTTCCGCCTGACAGTACTAAGATTGTTGGTTCAAATCAAAGCCATGGCACCACCTGCTTGGAGTTTGCATGTTCTCCCTGTGTTTACGTGGGTTCCCTCTGGATACTCCAGTTTCCTCCCACATGCCAAAGACATGCTGATGGGTTAATTGAATCCTGTCTAAATTGGCCCTAGTATATTTAAAAAAAAAAAATGAATATATTAGTTTGCACACTGCCCGCATTCAGGGCCGCTCACCCACACGCCTGTCACATTAGGATGAGCAGCCATGTCTGTGCAGCCACTGCATCTTCTAAAATGAACTAAACAGAAGAATGACGTTAATCCCTCAGTTTTTTTCTGTCCTCACACTAGTGATGTGACTTCTACAGAGAATAACAGTTTCGACAGAGGCGCTGAATGGGTGCCTGTACCTGAATGTCACCCTTTGGAAATGACTTCATGAAGTTAATGGTTTTATGACTGGTTCTAAAAGAACAGATAAATTCTATTTGAATAGAGAGTAAACATTTCTGTGCTCTAGAAAAATGTCTTTAAAAAAAGTACATAAATCCACTTCATGTGAATAACATTAAACATGTGAAAAAAATAGTGTGCTACATATACAAAAATGCACAATTCCTATAGAGCAACTAAAAACCAAAAACACAGACCTGTGAAATATACAAAAATGCACAATTCCTATAGCATAACTAAAAACCAAAAACACAGACCAGTGTTTTTTTATTTCACTGGTCTGTGTTTTTGGTTTTTAGTTGCTCTATAGGAATTGTGTATTTTTGTATACATAGCGCAGCATTTGTTCACTTCTATTATTTTACCATTTAGCCCACTGAGACATGGGTTGTGTGCACTAGCGGCTACACCATTTGTATTTCACATATTAAACGTATTTATTTATATTTTTATTCATTATAGTAAGCTCTTGAGTTATAGTTATAATTTTCAACATTAAAAATGTGCTCTAAGGTTTAGGCTAACTATCACTATTCACCCCCATTTGCCTCAACACCCTCTAGGATTTTAGGAATCAGACCTTAGGTTCTGATTTACCCCTGTTTGGACTGCAGGGCTAAAACAGACTTTGCAGCCTCTGTAGAGGCTAAAATCCAGAATAAATGCTACACGTATCTGTCAATCAATCAGATTGGTAGAAAATCAAAGACTCTCAAATTAAGCAACTTTATCCCAGCAGTTGTCCAGCAGAGTTGCTGGTCATATTTCTTGACATACACTATATGAGAACAATTTCACATATAAAATACAATGATGAAAATATGGCACAGAAAACGTGCAAAAATGGATTGCCACATCAAAAACACATTTCAGGTAACCAGCACAATGATAGCTCAATATAATATGCTACATTTTCAGTATACTGCTCAGCATCTAAGCAGAAATAATTCACTGCCTGAATTATGCTCTGAATGAGATATGTGCTCAATCAGAACACAAATTAAAGAGTCGTAGGACATTATTCACCCAACTGCCATCTGTCAAAGCTCTGGGTATGAAAGCTGAGCAAAAACAGGAAAACAAAAGCCATTAGGAAACCATTGTTTCTGAAATTGAGAAAGCTCAGTTTTTGTGCTCTGTAGACTTAGACAAAACAGAAGGTTAGAAAATATTGATGGTAAGACATCTTACATCTACAAAACAATTACCTGATGCATCAAAAGAGCTTCCAGTTGATGAAGGAGCCGGAGCTGCAGCTGGGGAAGGGGCAGAAGCAGGCTGACTGGCTCCAAATGCTGCATCAAAGCCGGTCTGAATGAGGTTATTTTGTGCTGGGGCAATCGGTGCCGGAGTTGGACTGATAAAAGACCCTCCAAATCCTACAAATAGAGCAGAATGGTGAGTGAATATGCACACTTAAAATTGGTAAAACAGTCAACTTACATACAGCGCATTATACAACTTGCCTATAAAAACAGTAATGCCATAATATTTTATAAACAGTAATGCCATGATTTTTTTCATATTTTATAAACAGTAATGCCTTGATATTTTTTATATATTTTTTATAAATAGTAATACCATGATATTTTTTTATATATTTTATAAACAGTAATGCCATGAAATTTTTTATATATTTTATAAACAGTAATGCCATGATATTTTTTAGATTTTATAAACAGTAATGCCATGATATTTTTTATATTTTAATAAACAGTAATTCCATGATATTTTTTATATATCAAGTTATTTTGAAATCAACTGTTCTCAAAATAATAAGAATAGCAAGTTACTGTGCCACATGACTAGCACTTCATAAGTGAAAGTAGATTTTCTTATAAACATAGCTACAAAATTTGTCTAAAATGATGGTTGAAGCACATAAAGGGAATGTTGCTGGCCTTTATTTTAAAACATGCCCCTTCCAAATCTAAAGAAATGTTTTGGCTACATTATATTCACAATAAAACATTTTAAAATGTAAAACTGGAACAGTATGGAGTTTTCAATAATTACAGTAAATGACATTTACCAGCCAACAGATCTGCAGCAGCGGATGTACCAGTAGGTGCCAAAGCTGGAGGCTGTGATTCGGCTACACTTTCAAAAGCATCTATTGTGAAGATAGGAAAAAAAAAAAAATTAACACATTGGAAATTAAAGAAAAAGCAATGACTATGACCAAGGGCTTGTTCACAGTTGACTTCTTCCCAAACACCCCTATAGTGTTTGACAGGCATTAGACAGGCATTTGGGGAGCATTTTTAACGCTTCCCAAACACCCTATGCGTGCTTGTGAGGTGTTTTATAGGCGTTTTCCAAGCATTAAAACCGCTCCACAAATGCCTATAATGAAGTTAATCGTATTAACGCCCGGCAAACGCCTGCCAAGCGTTTAAGGAGCATCACCACAGACTTGAATGGGATGCGTTGAAAGGCTTCAACTCCTCCTGACTCCACAAGAGGCGTCAATTTTGCTGGGACACAACACTAACGCTCCAGTGTGAACAGCACTGTGTGCTGCCATATGTAAAATTTTCATAGGTGTTTGAGGAGCGTTAAAAACGCACCTCAACGACTGCAAAACGCCTGCTTACAAAGCTAGTGTGAACCTAGCCTTAATGCATCTCACACAAAACTTTTCTTTTCCAGTAAAGTAGAGGAGTTTGATCCCATGCCAGGCTTTTATTGCGGTCTGCATCCCTAATGGGGAGTGGGCGATTTACACTCTCTCTCTGTTCTGGTACAGAAAGTGACAAGAAACCCAAATAATTACAACTGTCACTGAAACAAGAGGTAAGAGAAAGTCTTTTACCAAAAGACATCTGCTCTGATGGTAGTGTCATATGGCAAATCACCTTTTGGAAAAATGTTCTCAATACTTCTTGTTGCTTCTTTGGAACATCAAATTAAAAGGAAATCTCTCTACTGAGAAGCAAACCGTAAAAAAAAAAAAAAAAAAAAAAAAAAAACAAACCTTGATCTGGGTTTTTACTCCTTCCTATACTATATTACAAATAAAATAAAATTTTGACTATCAACTTTGTTTTGAAAGTTAGCTTTTACATAGGACTAAACAATATACTTCAAACTGCACAGAGAATGAGGGCATTAGATACATACATTAGCTGAAAGGTCTTTTTTTGTGAAGAAGCCAACACTTTTTGCATTTCATAAGTAGGGGAAATGAAATAAAAGTAGAACACCACACCTTTTTAATAAATTCTTAAAACAGATTCATGATATGAAAGTATTTACAATAACCACGTTAAGCATCACTTAATATATGTAACAATCCACCACTTTCCTAGTTATTCCAGCTGCTGCTTTGTTATACCTAGCAGCAAACATTCTTCTACCACACAAAACTGTTGTATTTACACATTTGAACTGAAATTACGATCACTGTTCATTGGTTGTATTGTAGTTTGGCTCCTCAATGCCAACTTGTCTTTGTATCAAAGGCTCCAAAGCTGCCATTACATCCATTGTCACTTGAGTCACTGACCTGGAACATGCATGTGCATATCAGGAGTTGTGACGCTGCATGCTGGTTCCAGACAGCAAAGTTGGTGAAAGCTCTGAAGCTTATGCCTTAAAATATTAGCCAGCAATTACAGCTCCTACATTGCTACCCTCACATGCTATGGGGAAAATTGGTGGAATAAGGGGGCATTAATACATTGGGGTCAATTTACTAAAGGCAAATAGACTGTTCACTTTGCAAGTGCAGCTGTACTCTGCAAGGGAATTATCCCCAGAGCTCAGTGAATGTGGTGAAGTTCTGCTCACTTCCATTATATAAATTGTGTGCAAGCAAATACGCCGCTTCTTTTATTTTCCTTGCACATGGTTGGTTACTCTCACCATATTAATTAAGCTCTGGCAGGGCAGTAGATTATTTTTTTTTTTTTTTTGGGGGGGGGGGGGGGGGAGAGGGTTCAGTGCATTTGTACTGCAGCCCCCAACACCAACTCTCCCTTGAGCTTTAAAGGCCGCTGACAATTACAAATCCCATGACAATTATACACAATGAATGGCATTCATTCATGCCATCCACTGTGTACTATCGTGTTGATCTCTGTGATTGGTAACAGCAATGGTACAGACAGTGCCAATTACAACTAGCCACAATAGTAAACACTGAATGAATCAATTTCATTCAGTAAAAATGGTTGCTTAGAACAGTGAAATTCACTGGTAAAAGCAATCATAATGTGTATAAAAAGAAAAAATCCTGATCACTTCCCCAAAGTATTACAATGTTATTATGGTAACATTTTTTTTCCTCTGGTCAGTGTGTTAGAAAAAAGAAATTGTAAAAAAAATGGTTTTGATTTTACATTCTGTCACCAGTCAGAATCCCTGATTACTGCCACACCAGTTATATGATGAAGCTGCACTGCACTGGTGACAGTAAGTTAACTAAAATAAAAAATTGTGAAAAAACAAACAAACAATCTACTTCCAAAAAGAGACAATTGAGGGGTATTAGTACTGTCCTGACATTTGGGGGGGAGAATGTGTCCTGTGCTATTTTTTTTTTTTTTTGTGGGGGGGATTTGTCCTGTCCTAACATCTGGGTGGGTGAATGGGTGGGTGGAAGGGAGGGAGGGAGGGGTGGGTGGAAGGGAGGGAGGGAGGGGTGGGTGGAAGGAAGGGAGGGAGGGAGGGGTGGGTGGAAGGAAGGGAGGGAGGGAGGGGTGGGTGGAAGGAAGGGAGGGAGGGAGGGAGGGGTGGGTGGAAGGAAGGGAGGGAGGGAGGGAGGGGTGGGTGGAAGGAAGGGAGGGAGGGAGGGAGGGGTGGGTGGAAGGAAGGGAGGGAGGGAGGGAGGGGGGGTGGGTGGAAGGAAGGGAGGGAGGGAGGGGAGGGGTGGGTGGAAGGAAGGGAGGGAGGGAGGGGTGGTGGTGGAAGGAAGGAAGGGAGGGAGGGGTGGGTGGAAGGAAGGGAGGGAGGGGTGGGTGGAAGGAAGGGAGGGAGGGGTGGGTGGAAGGAAGGGAGGGAGGGGTGGGTGGAAGGTAGATCGGACTCACATGCTGAGTCAGATGCATCACAGTTGTCGGCTGCTCTGTGTTCAATTCCCACCCACACCTCCTCTGAAGCTGCACGGACTAGAGTGTGGGTGGGGCACAGGGGGAAGCAGAGCAGATCCAGCTTCTCTGCCCTCTTCTCCTGTTGATGTGGAGGATGGAGGGACGGGCTGGGCACTGAAGCACACAACGGGGGGGCCGAAAAAGAAAAAGTTCAGGGATGATTGTTGCAGTGGTGGGGGCAGTGACGAGCAGCGATCTCTTGTATGGCTTTCAATGAAACAGCTGGAAGCAGCGTCTCCTCCTCTCCCTCCCACGGTTTCCAGCTGCTTCAATGAAAGCCATACAGGAGATTGCTGCTTGTCAATGCCCCCACCGCCGTCCCTCCCACACCCCCCTAGTCCCAGCACTGCTCACCCCCAACCTTTTTCCACTCACCCAATGCCAGTGGGCAAGGCAAAATTTTGAGGGCTGCTAAAGGATAGTTGGCAACTCTCCTCGGGGTTCAGATGCCCCTGACCCCAACTTATCTACACCCGAGCTCTGGGGAATTCCCCCCTGCACATTAAATGTTCACTAACAAAGAAAACAGCTTATTGGCCTTTAGTAAATCAACTCCATTGCCTACTTTACATTCATCTCTCCCACTGATCATTTACTTGAAATTCCTGTTTAACAGGCCATGGAGACAGCTCCCTCATCTTCCCTATTCTACATGTCAACCTCATGCAATTCCATGGGAAAATAAGACACCAGACAAGATGCATTAGACTACATGACCCGAACAGGTCAATCACATTGGAACTTTAAAATAGAAAATCAAAGTATAGGGGACAAAGAGTAATTTATACACTCTTCTCACTGCCACCCCTTTCCCCCCCAATTACACCTAGGTATTTTACAGTAGAGTAGCCGTTAAGTAGCCATATCTTTTTAAACTAAAGAGTTTTAAGGAATCTGTACACAATTGCTTCTATACCTGGAAGAGGTTTAGCAAAAACAATTGATGTTAAATACCTCCAAATAGGTCGAGCACAGCTGTAGACTCAATCTTTGCAGGTGAAGCAGTAGGCAAAGGGGATGGAGCTGCAAATGTGTCCACTACAACGATTACAGAACAATATTAATCATAACACTGAGCATACCGGTCTGTACAGAGAATACTGTAAAACAATCCTTTAGTCATTTAGTGCAGTGTCTAACAGCTTAACACAAAACAAGGATTTCAAAATGCTTGTTAATGTTTTCATGTAGAAAGAAATCAGTCTCATTACATAGTTTGCAGCAGTATGCTACTAAGAAAGGAGAATTCAATTCCTGCATGTGTGGCTTAAATAATATAGTGACTGGAATGAGTATCATTAAAACCATTTAATAAAGTACATTTAATGTGAACCTATGTCCAGACTATGCACACTAAAGCATTTACATATTCTGAACAAGCAGCAAATCAACTTTAAAATGAACCCTCATTGACTTTTGTAGCTATATTTACTAAGGAGATATTAATTTTCAATCTTAATTTTTTTTTATGAGAGCAGAATCTTGGCAGCCTGACAACCCTTTAATGTAAGGTTATGGGATGCCATGCTCTAGGAGGTGACAGGGGAATGCACGGTCTCACATGGTAACTATCCACCAGAGGCCTGAAGGGAGGAGCCTGATGAAGCTTGGCAGGAGGTACTATTACCCAAGGACTACCTTGGAGCCCTGGCCACAACACTGCTGCAGCAGAATAATCCCAAACCACCTCTCCCTGGTTGCACAGGTTGCCAGTCCACTGGGGTGCCTCCATCTGAAGAGACCCACTCTATTCTACAGCATCAATCCCCTTCAATACACTCTCTACAACACAGGTGTCAAACTGGCAGCCCTCCAGCTGTTGCCAAACTACAAATCCCATGAGGCATTGCAAGACCGAGTTAGAAGCATGACTCCCAAAGGCAGAGGCATGATGGGACTTGTAGTTTCTCAACAGCTGGAGGGCCACCGGTTTTAACACCCCTACTCTAAAACATTGACAGTGATGCTATGAGTCTCCTTAATCTGCAACATCCAAGTGAGCCTGACTGTATTCTTGCTCTATCTGCATCCTCTGTGGCCTAGATACTCATCAATGAGGGAAGCCTAGTCCTCTAACAGTGGAGCCCAGGGCCAGGCAATGACGTGTCACAATCTGCATCTCAAACAGGCCACAACACAACAGTGGACATGCCACTGCAATATAGCACTCTTCAAAGAGCACCCCTATCCCAGCCCCCTTCATCTCAATGTCACACCCACTATTCAATGCAGTGCACAACATGCAGCATTGTTAGCCCCATCTCCTGCTCTGTCCTCTATCTCAATCCATTGAGAAAATAAGATATACTGCCATCGAGAGGTACAAGTTATGGAAATTGGCTGCTAAGTGAAATAAAGTTTGGGAACTCTGTTAGAAATGCTGACACCAGACAGTCTTACTGTGATATTTCAGAATGAATATTTTACAGTAGAGTAATAGCAGTTAGAGAGATCAGTAAGGGCCTCTTTAAAGTGTTACTAAACCCAGGACCCTGCATTCACTATATCTGGTCTCTCACAGTACACACAACATGGAATTCCAATTATTTCAGTAAATATAAACTGCTAAATACCTTTTCTCATTAGCAGTGCTAAATGGCCCTGTGCTGATCTTTGGCACCCTCCCCCCCAAAAAAAAACTCTAGCAATACACACCAAACTGAGCATGTCTCCTAGGGCTCTGTACTACCAGCAGATGGATTGGGGACTGTGGAAGAAGGGGAAAATCAGAAGACAGGATCAAACAGCCTTTTTACATAATGTGGAGAAATAACCCCTTACGTTCCACAGTGAGTATAACAAGCATACTTTACTGCAGATACAGACTGATTTTACTGTTGTGCGTTTAGCAACACTTTAAAGGTGTTTTATACTGCAAGTTAGGATTATGTACATACTCTGGCCACCAGTTCACTTTGTATAAATGTTTTTAAGGTTTTGGTGGTGTGATAGAATATGAGACGATAAGAACAATGTAGACCACCAGGCAAAAAAAAAAAAATACTTGCATTAGTTTTGGATAATGTGTGCAAGAGATAGAACTTTCAGGTTTTTATTCCTGTTAATGTCCAGCAGAATTTTCAAAAAGTCACTAAAAAAAAAAGAAGAGGTTGCACTCCAGACGATGGAGAACTGGGAGGATCAGCTCACAGTGACGCCCAAGATACAGTTATGTATCAAACAGAAAATGGGGGAAATAATTTCTTCTGGGACACAGCAATAAAAAAAAACAAACAAAAAGTAGGATACCAACCCTGCCCCAACCTATCCAAAGCCTTAACATGGACAAAACATGGCTAGAATTAAATTTTAAAAGGTTTTACAGTACGTTTACAAAAGCCTGAAGACATATTACACGATAAAAAAAATGTGTTTTTTATGCATTAGACAGAACCTGTTTTTGGCCCATTCCAGTTTTTCTACAGTGGGTGGTACATACACAGGTTTATATCAACACCATTCAAAAAATAGTAGCATTATATATAATCTTTAGCAACCAATCAAAATTCAACCTTTTCAAGACATGAGATTTGACAGCCCCATTATGTGATTTCTGATTGGTTTCCATGGGTTACCACACATCATTAAAAAAAAAAATTCATCCTCACAAAAAACACTGTGCAGTCAAATATCACAAGACACGAGACTCTGCAACAGCATACTGTAAAAAGAAAGCTAAAATGAGAAAAAAAAAAAAGGCGCATGCAGCTAAAAATCCTGAGCATTAGATGATACAACACCACAAATGTAATGAAATGTTACTGCAGGTAAAGCTTGAACTTGAGGAAACACAGCCTTGCATGGCAGCAAAAAGCAACACGTACAGTTGACCAGCCACCTTAGGTTCATTCATTATAAAAAAAAAAAAATTCAGAACCCATGGCTATTCAGGCATAGTGAACTGCAGCTCTTCCACAAGGCCTACATATCACTCAAGTGCTTTGTATGAAAAGCACTCACCAGACAAGAGGTCTCCAGTGAGGGAAGTCTCAGGCACAGGAGAAGCCCCATGCGGTGGGGATGAGAAAGCATCTTCCCAAAGCAAGAGGAAACAAGAGCCAAGTCAGTTTCTTAAGCAATGAGAAAATCAGAACTTTAGTAGAAGTAATGAAGCTTAGAATGTCAGTGAGAGAGATTTCATGCATTACCTGTGCCAAACAGGTCTATGCTAGGTGTAACATCTGGCTTAGGGGCAGCAGCCACCTCCGAAACAGATTCAAACAAATCTAAGACCAAATACAAGTAATGTTATTGATATAAACAATCCCCCACAAGAGCTTTGAATGATTGATAAATCTCTTTCAACTTCATGAAGAAATAGGCATGCAACAAACTCACAAAAAACAGGACAAAAGCAGATTTCATTTGTATAGTAGAACATACAGATGAATCCAGACACAGCAGCTCAAGTTCCAGCTTATTGCAACAGCATTGCTAAGAAAAAAAAATTCATGGTTTACAAAAACTGCGGTCTCACACGTTTACTTGAAAGAATGATGTGCTAAAACTGGCAGACAATGAACTACCACGTTCTATTTCTCCATTTGAACTGGCTTCTATAAGCCTTGCTTAAGGTTTACACTCGTGGTACTTTATATTCCTTCACTAGGTACAGGCATGCTCTTCACAATAAAGAAAGGGGATGTAAAGACTGCATTGGGTTGGTTTACCACGAATATTGGCCAGCCAATTGTTTGTTCCTTGGTGCAGTCGCTGTTTTAAGTTAATCTAAATTATTACTTTATTACTAAAGCAATTTAAATAAACAGAAAACGTTCCTCCTATAGGTCTGTGGCAGCAACATATTCCCAATGTACAAACTCAAGACACTCAGTGGTCTCTTTTTAAGTTAAAGTATCCAACAGATAAACGATGAAAAAATAGGATCAGATTTTTCTGTACTGGTTTGTAACTTCTTTCTTATGAAAAAACAAATAAACCCTATGGAAAAGAAAAAATATGATCATATATGATAATATATCCTACATGGCCAGGAAGGTCTGTAGGTGATATAAGAGGTGGAAGGGTCATCTCAACACTTCTTAGTAATTTTAGGCACTATGGTTTCTATAGTTTAAAAAAGTTTGAGGAGAAACACACTATTAAATGTAAGCTCCATTAAGAAAAACACACTGTTAAATGAGAGAGGTCACAAAGAAAGAAAGAAAAAAAAAAAAAAAAAAAAAAAAAAAAAAGAAGTGTTCAAGCTGAAAGGAATTCCCTACAAAAAACGTTTTACAAATCCTTTCGGAATATTGAAATTTTAAGAGAATGTCTCTCCTACTAGCTATGCACAGAATAGTTAAAATACTCTGAACAAGGGATAACCAAAAGCAGGCAATGAACCATTCAAAAAATGATGCCTGGTCTGATTTTATGTTGTAATATACACAGTGAAAAAAAAAAAAGTCCAAATCTGGAGCATGTAGTATGAGCCCAAGAATTTCATTATTATATCCCCAATATACTGAGTATGATCTAAGTGCCACAACTGTTGCTGATCAGGTGCACCACTGTCAGCACTAGATAGGTAGCTCTAATAAAGCAACCACTGAGTAGGTTTTGGAATCTTGATTTTGAAAAACACTGCCATATCTGGTTCTCCTTGTGCCTGCATAGTAATATCAATGACAAAAAAAAAAAATATTGGCTGGAAATTGATCAAATCAGCAAGGCATTAGAGCTTTCTAGCTACAAGCTGAAAGATATGAAAAGCCACTTTGTATCATGCAATAATAAAATTTCAGAGTTTGACATTGACAGTTCAAGTGGAGTAGACTTGAATGCATTTGTTAGCTTCTCGAACTTAAAAAAAAAAAAAAAATAAATATAATTGTATACTATATATATATATATATATATAATATATATATATATATATTATATATATATATACATACACACACATACATACATACATACACACACACATACATATACATACATACATATATACACACACACACACACACACACACACACACACACAGTGGGGATCGAAAGTTTGGGCACCCCAGCTAAAAATTTGTATTAATGTGCATAAAGAAGCCAAGGAAAGATGGAAAAATCTCCAAAAGGCATCAAATTACAGATTAGACATTATTATAATATGTCAACAAAAGTTAGATTTTATTTCCATCATTTACACTTTCAAAATAACAGAAAACAAAAAAATGGCATCTGCAAAAGTTTGGGCACCCTGCAGAATTTATAGCATGCACTGCCCCCTTTGCCAAGCTGAGACCTGCCAGTGTCATGGTTTGTTCTCAATCATCGTCTGGGAAGACCAGATGATGTCAATCTCAAAGGTTTTAAATGCCCAGACTCATCTGACCTTGCCCCAACAATCAGCACCATGGGTTCTTCTAAGCAGTTGTCTAGAAAACTGAAACTGAAAATAGTTGACGCTCACAAAGCTGGAGAAGGCTATAAGAAGATAGCAAAGCGTTTTCAGATGTCAATATCCTCTGTTCGGAATGTAATTAAGAAATGGCAGTCATCAGGAACAGTAGAAGTTAAAGCAAGATCTGGAAGACCAAGAAAAATATCAGACAGAACAGCTCGCAGGATTGTGAGAAAAACAATTCAAAACCCATGTTTGACTACACGATCCCTCCAGAAAGATCCGGCAGACACTGGAGTTATGGTACACTATTCCACTATAAAGAGATACTTGTACAAATATGGTCTTCATGGAAAAGTCATCAGAAGAAAACCTCTTCCGTCCTCACCACAAAAATCATTGTTTGAACTTTGCAAATGAACATATAGACAAGCCTGATGCATTTTGGAAACAAGTTCTGTGGACCGATGAGGTTAAAATTGAACTTTTTGGCCGGAATGAGCAAAGGTACGTTTGGAGAAGAAGGGGCACAGAATTTAATAAAAAGAACCTCTGTCCAACTGTTAAGCATGGGGTTGGATCAATCATGCTTTGGGTTGTGTTGCAGCCAGTGGCACAGGGAACATCTCACGAGTAGAAGGAAAAATGGATTCAATAAAATTTCAGCAAATTTTGGATGGTAACTTGATGCCATCTGTGAAAAAGCTGAAGTTACAGAGAGGATGGCTTCTACAAATGGATAATGATCCTAAACACACCTCAAAATCCACGGGGGATTACATCAAGAGGCATAAACTGAAGGTTTTGCCATGGCCTTCACAATCTCCTGACCTCAACATAATTGAAAATCTATGGATAGACCTTAGAAGAACAGTGTGTGACAGACAGCCCAGAAATCTCAAAGAACTGGAAGACTTTTGTAAGGAAGAATGGGCAAAGATACCTCAAACAAGAATTGAAAGACTCTTGGCTGGCTACAAAAAGCATTTACAAGCTGTGATACTTACCAAAGGGGGCAGTACAAGATATTAACTCTGCAGGGTGCCCAAACTTTTGCAGACGCCATTTTTTTTTTTTTCTGTTATTTTGAAAGTGTAAATGATAGAAATAAAATCTAACTTTTGTTGACATATTATAAGAATGTCTAATCTGTAATTTGATGCCTTTTGGAGATTTTTCCATCTTTCCTTGGCTTCTTTATGCACATTAATGCAAATTTTTAGCTGGAGTGCCCAAACTTTCGATCCCCACTGTATTTTATATATATATATATATATATATATATATATATATATATATATATAAAAAAAAAATCTGTCTTAAATTGAGTCTGCAGCAACTGTCAAAACCCTTAGAAATATTTTTTAATTGTCATTTGCTTTCAAAACTCCTGAGACACTATTACATTTTTATTTGTAGGTTAGTTTCTGGAAAAAAGTCTTTAGGGGGGAAAAAGTTACACAGAGAAAATATACTAACACAAAATCAGCAGGATTGATCATACAGAATTTAGAAAAAAAAAGTAATACTTTTGCATGATATGTACAACGCATCAAAATGGTCTTGAAAATGTATGAGGATAGATAGCATAAAATGAAAATGTTAACCCTAACTAGAAAAAAACAAGACAATGAACAGAAATTCACTTCTAGACAAACAATACCCAAAGACATTTACCACCAAAGATATCTAGAGCAGGAGGAGCAGTAGTTGCTGTAGTAGTGCTGGCAGATGCGGTGGCAGCGGTGGTAGTGGTAGTAGCAGCTGTTGTAGTGGTAGTAGTAGTGGTAGTAGTAGGAGCAACTGCTGTAGCAGGTGTAGGAGGAAGAGGAGAAGGAGTAGTTGCAAGAGCAGCACTAGCAGCGGCTGCAGTGGTAGTAGGGGTAACTACAGGAGTACTGCTTTCAGCTGGCTTCAAAGCAAAAAGGTCCAGTTCAGGAGCAGCTTCTGCACTACCTTCGGATGGGGCAAAGGGGTCTTATAAAAGAAGAAGGTGGAGAACAGAAGGATAAATTAGGAAGGACTCGAGAATTCAAAAAAACTACAGGATCAGGAACTCAGAGCACTCAATGAACAAACACCCCATGCATTAGTTTACCTATCAAGAGAATCAAATCTTCATATACATTCTTCACATTACAAAACAAGTGTTTTTTTTTTTTACGAGGCCAGGACGAAATGCTGACTTTTTTTTTTAAATGACTGAACAGTACACAGCACAATCTTCATATAGCTGAAGGTAGCATTTCTCAAAAAATAAGATATATGCTAAAATTATCACAAATACTGCAATGTAGTGGAACGCCACATAGTATACAAACTACACAACAGTGATGGCCTGAATACTAGACAGCTAGAAGAAAAAGTCAATACAAGGCATGCCGACAGATGACAGGTAGCAGACATGAAACCCACCGTTTCCAGAGCATGCATCAAGGGCCGCTGCAACAGGGACAGGGGTGGGAGGAGCTGCAGCCCCATCTAGTGTTGCAGGTGCTTCCCCAGGAGAAGCAGCAAAGGCATCTGGTGAGGTTTTATGCAAGTGAAGCAAAAGAAGAGGAAGAAAAGGAATAGTAAATAATAAGAAAATAACATTGGCGGGTACCCTTCCCTTATACAACAAGCGTCACCATAAACAGGTCAATTATCATTTAGAATACATGAACGATAATAGCTGATATTGTATAAGGGCTCCATGCATGCAACGTCAGCAGTTAATGAGACACCAATTTCCCCCAAGAAGTTTACATTAGGGATATCCTTGTCTGAATAAGGAAAATGTATTTCTGCAATGCACGGTTTTTAATGAATGTACTCACACAAGGATATGCTCAAGGTTTAGCATGAAAACAGCAACCTTAAAGGATAAGTTCACCTTTCGTAACACGTTACACCCATATTCCACCCATATTCAGGGTGTAACACATGTAACATGTGACGTTCAGTCAGACCGGCCCCCGCTCCCCCTCCCGATCCCTGCTTTGACAGCTAGAGGGGGATCTTCTCCCCCCCTCGCTAGATGTCAAATTTTAAAAAAAAAAAACCTGGCCGTGTGGGACTTCGTCCACCTCCCATACGGCAAGCAGATATTCTGACAGGTCTGCAGGAGACCTGCATGGCATCAGCAATCTACTGATCGCTTGTGCAATACTTTCCAGGCTCCTGAAGACAAAAATAAATGCACATTTTTTTTACCTGCAAAAAAAAGTGCATTTATTATTTTTGTCCAAAAGGTGAGCTTATCATTTAAGTATAAGGTTCAGCACACATTTATTGATTTTGAAACACTAGAACGAAAATGTAAAGCATAAAACAAAGGGAATATAGGGCGAGTGAACCAAAGAAAAGACCCTCTGCATATATTTCTACAGCGGGAACAAAATGTATTCTTATGACAACCTGCTTACTAGCCGTATTACTTCTGTAAAATAAGCACTTACTTTTGGACAAAACATACACATCCTTGAAGAGTGACATTTTGGTGAGCCATATGGGCCGCTTTAACGTTGTTTCAGTGCCAATAGCCAACTTGTTAACTCATCATAAATCTGACTTCCTGCAGCTTGTAACTAGTATTTCTGTGTCAAGAGGCTACTTGGTTAGCTTAATGATAGAGACTTAAAAAAAAAAAAAAAAAAAAAAAAAAGAAAAAAACCTACATAAATTTGTAACATTCATATTGCGCGTGTAAATCATCAACACCTGTGATATGTGAAATTATTATGCAGGCATCATTTAGCATACAATGAATATACAGTATACTACTTTATGAGTCCAATATTGTTTAGTGATATTTCCATCATATATAGGACAGGTGCGGTTCAATTTGTTCAGATTCGTTTTTCAGACGAAAATGTAATTTTCGGAGATTCGGATTTATTCGAATTTCTAAATGGACATAGTAACAAATCTGAACGAGTCCAAAAAAAAAGTATAATAACATTTTTAGATCCATATGGATCATCTGGATTCATAAAGATCCAGTTGTTCAGGAATGGGCGGCCACCACGTCCTTCACAACATGGGTTCATCAACTATCAGCGGGTTTTACCACTGTCAGCAGAATGTAAAACAAAAAGTGCCGGTCAAACCCCCCCAAAAAAAAAAACCCCAAAAGAAACCAAAATCACAACAGCGTGCTCCCCCCCCAAAAAAAAACAAAATCCGTAGTCAGTTATAGATTTTGGGAGAAACCCCATGGCAAAAAACATAGCGTCCCCTTCCCCCTCTAAATCTATACCAGACCCTTGCATGCAGCCCAGCAAGCCAGGAAAGAAGGTGGCGTTGTGGGAAGGGGGGGTGATGAACCATACCAGGTCACATGCCCTCCCCGGGCACCTTGTTCCCATTTTGATGGGGACAAGGGCCTCTACCTACAACCTTAGGTGTCAGTTATGGGGGTCTGCGGGCGGGGAGCATATCAGAATCTGGAAGCCCCCTTTATCAAGGGAGCACCCAGTTCCCAGCCCCCCATGTGAATGAGTATGGGGTAAATGATACCCGTACTTGTTCACCAAAAAAATGAGTCCCACTACCTGCCTGAATGAACTGCCATTTTCTAAGAGCATGCCGCATACTAATAGATCCTATCTTGTGGAAGTCCAGGTAGGCAGCTTAGGTGTGGGAACAGGCCTGAGACTAATCTTTTCATAGGCCTTTCTCCATTTTGCCTGAGCCTTTTGCAGAGCTTACAGTGGCTCAAATGCAGAACAAAATTAATGAACAGTAGTGATCTGTGGTCTTCACGAAAAAAAAGAGCACCAAATCTTCTACTGAGTTATGCCCAGTGTGCTCAAATTGGAGAAGATCCTTGATTGGACACAGGCTGCAGACATTTAAGGAGTTTATACCTCAATACAGATCCGCATAGTAAATAAATATCAAGTATTGAGATCTGCAGCTGATAAATACCACCATGTCTTCAATGCAAAAAAACAAAATCAGTCACTAGGTGGTATGTAATGTCACCTAAAAACCAAAAATTTTCCTGCGCCAATCAAAAACAATAAATCACCCTTCTAAATTGCTGCTGTACAAAAAATGTGTAAAAACACAAACAGTAAATTATATAAATAAACAGCGCAACATAGACCTCAATTCAAACCACAATAAATCACACAATATGAGTGTATTATTAAATCATACGTGTATATATCAGAAAATCTTCAGAAAAAACAGACAATTAAAGTCCCTTGTGAAGATAGCTGAAGATTCCAAAAGATGTGTATAGCCTTCCACCTTTAAGGTGTGTACACCAACATCAAATACACTCACCAGATTTTGGTGAGTGAGAAGCCTTTAAGGATTTTAAGGGAATCCTAGTTGGCTCCACCATACCGCCAAAGAGAAAGCTTATATAGTATAATTCCGGTGAGTGTAGCGCACGCTAAGCGGTGCGTTCCAGCGGCCATTTTCTGGGATCTAGGCTGGATTTTGCTGTCTCTCTGCTCTGGCTGCATTGGTGTGGGATTCCTGAATCATGCTTGCTGGTTATCTTAAGGCTGTCATGGGCTTAATAAACGTGCCTGTTATAAGCTATTGAAATGTGAGTGGCCTGGATTTGTTTTTTTAGTACAATATTATTGTGGCAATATTACACTATATCAGCTTTCTCTTTGGCGGTATGGTGGAGCCAACTAGGAGGATACGGTGAGGACCTGAAAGAAGATCTAAACTTGGAGGGGAGGTTATCAGTGAGCTGATGAAAAGGGGGTTTAGGATTCCCTTAAAATCCTTAAAGGCTTCTCACTCACCAAAATCTGGTGAGTGTATTTGATGTTGGTGTACACAGGTGAAAGGTGGAAGGCTATACACATCTTTTGGAATCTTCAGCTATCTTCACAAGGGACTTTGTCTGTTTTTTCTGAAGATTTTCTGATATATACAAGTATGATTTAATAATAGACACTCATATTGTGTGATTTATTGTGGTTTGAATTGAGGTCTATGTTGCGCTGTTTATTTATATAATGTAATGTCACCTGCCCTCAGAAAATTAACATAAGTTTTGAACTCCAATTTTCAAATTTTTGATGGTAGGGGAAGTTGAACCATTCAAATAGAAAAAAGATTTGTAATTTCATGGCAACAACCGTTCCAAATGTATTATAACTTTACACTTACAAATGCAGCTGATAATACATTTATAATACAAAATGCATTTTTTATTTTATGTAGATTATGTGTAAAAGGAGTGAAAAATAGAAGATTAAATTAAAAAGTTGCTGGTAACTTTATTCTACATTAAAAAAAAAATGTCCTAAAAGCTCTCTTCCTGATCAGAAGCCTCCCTCTAGTGGTCATGCACCATGCAATTTTATGAATAATGCAGATCTTAGACTGAAAAAAAGAATTTCCCTTGTTTACTTTTTGCATCATTATAGCACTAAAATAAATGCATGTATACTTATTATAAAAATGAAATTTTATGGGAAAGACATCATAAGCATTTCCTTTTCCGAGGGATACTAGTTACTTACAATACTTCGCCTGCGGAGTCTGACCTCTCTGATCTATGAGACTTGAAGAGTGAATACATTATACTTGTTAAATTACTACTCTGTCAAGTCCAACACTGCACCCAATTACATACATGTCCTTATCTGTTTTTTGTTTTGCTTAGTTTATCGGTATATTTAGAAGTTTTCCATGAAAAATGTTTCGGAACATAAAAAAAAAAAACTGGTTACCCAATCGACAAAAGGAGTTGTAGGTGCTCTTTATTGCTACTCCTTCCTTGTTTTCCAACCACATAAGTATTCTGCATTCCAATCATAGAATTATGGAGTGGCAGGGGCTGAGGATATGGGACTTGGCACGTCCACCACATTCAAGGTGCTGAATCATAGCAAGCAATATGTTCCATCTGTACTTTTCCCCACAGGCTTTAATTAGACTGGTATTTTATCTGACAGTTCTGTACCTGCCTGAATGCTTGTGTTCTTGACTGACCTTAAATCTTCAGGCAAACGAAGAAAAGACAATAAACCTACAAAATATTAGGTTATATGTAATTGAATTGCAGCTGAAGTGTAGCTGCATTTGTGCCAGGTACACTTAAGTGTGTTGCCGCTGTACTAGCATCCTGGGTGGATGGAGGCAGAGGTCACTACTGCATCCTGCTACAATGTTTGTCAGATGCTTATAGAAGGTTAACATCATCTGACAAAGACTTACCTACGATATGCATAAAACACTCTTATAGAGCATTTTTTTTTTTTTTTTTTTTTACTTCCAAACTATGTAAAAAAAAAAAAAAAAAAAAAACCCAATACTCTAGTAGAGCTAATGCATATCGAACATATATCTCTGTCTTCAAAGTAACAGTTTCTCCTAGGGCTCATGTACAAAGGACATCAGACTGAAGTCATATCAAGTATGCGCTTTGGTGCTTCTCAGCTGCTTTCAGGGTCAGAATTTTTGTTTAGTCTCCATAGGTCATGGTTTAGGGCAGTAGGACCAAAAAGAACAGCACACAGTTGCCCACAATACAGTGTCAACTGTAAACATGTTACCACATTACAAAAACCACTATTTCTGTCACAAAGGGATGTTTACATTCTATGTGACAGCAATCAAAGTGATTAAAAAAAAAAAAAAAAATTAAAAAAAAAAAGGATTGTAAAACAATGAAAAAAAAAAAAATTTAAAGTGCCCTCATTACTCAGTGCGTGCACGCAAGGACGATCGCACTCATTTGTCCCGCACGCACACAGAGATTGTCCCACACGTGAGGTACCACTGCGAAGGTCAGATCATGGGCAGTAATTCTAGCACCAGACTGTTACATGTAAACAAAAAGTGCCAGAAAAGGTTGCTTCGCTTAACTTTTGCAATTACAGTGACATGGATAAAAGAAAAAAAAAAAAAAAAAAAGTCCTTAGGATAGCCATAGACAGCCAGAACCCAATACTATAATAATGTGATAATACTCTACAAAGTGTGATGTACTATTCAAAAAATAAGTGCACAATATAACCAAAATGTCATATGTTTACAAAACAGGACATCATAGAACCTTACTAACCTCCAAACAGATCGACCTCAGCACTGGTAGTACTAATAGACGCAGGAGCAGGAGACGCAGAAGGAGCTGGAGTTTCAGTGGGAGCAGCAGTAAGGGCACTGGGCTCAGCTGAAAATGGGTCAGACAGCTGAGGAGCCTCTGAGATAAGAGATGTAGAAGGTGCAGAGAGAGAGAGTCTGCATGGAATCAGGAATGGGAAGAAAAGTTAACTAAGAATAGCCCTAAGGATCAAGAAAACCATCACAAATACAGGAAGAAACTACTCACCCTCTCCCAAAAGGTCTGTTAGGTGATCCAATAAGCAAGCGATTAAAAAGAAAATAAATGTAAGAGGTGTGATACAAGGGACTTTGAAAGTTACCTGCAGAATGTTGGAAAGGAAAAAAAAAACAGAAAAAAGAGACAGGAAACTGCAGTGACGTGTAATTCTGCACCCCGACATAATATAAACCATAGATAAGTCTAATTATTATCATATACTTGACCGGCTTAATGGCATTTAAAACAACCATGTTCAACTGCATGTATGTATGTATGTATAGTGCCTTGAAAAAGTATTCATAGCCCTTGAAATTTTCCATATTTTGTAATTTTTTTACAACCAAAAATATAAAATGTATTATTGGGATTTTATGAGATAGACCAATACTAAGTGGCACATAATTGTGAAGTGGAAGGAAAATGAGAAATGGTGTTCAAAATTTTGAAAAAATAAAATATTCAAAAAGTGTGGCACGCATTTGTATTTAGCCCCCTTTACGCTGATACCCCTAACTAAAATCTAGTGGAACTAATTGCATTCAAAAGTCGCCTAATTAGTAAATAGAATACACCGGTGTGTAATTTAATCTCAGTATAAATACAGCTGTTTTGTGAAGCCCTCAGAGGTTTGTTAGAGTACATTAGTGAACAAACAGCATCAAGAAGGCCAAAGAACACACCAGACAGGTCAAGGATAAAGTTGTGGAGAAGTTTAAATCAGAGTTAGGTTATTAAAAAAATATTCCAAGCTTTGAACATCTCACGGAGCACGGTTCAATCCATCATCTGAAAATGGAAAGAGTATGGCACAACTGCAAACCTACCAAGACACCTAAACTGACAGGCAGGGCAAGGAGAGCATTAATCAGAGAAGCAGCCAAGAGGCCTATGGTAACTCTGGAGGAGCTGCAGAGATCCACAGCTCAGGTGGGAGAATCTGTCCACAGGACAACTGTTATTCATGCACTCCACAAATCTGGGCTTTATGGAAGAGTGGCAAGAAGGAAGCCATTGTTGAAAGAAAAAAAGTCATAAGAAATCCCATTTGCAGTTTGCAAGAAGCCATGTGGGGATACAGCAAACATGTGGAAGAAGGTGCTCTGGTCAGATGAGACCAAAAAGCAAATCGCTGTGTGTGGTGGAAAACTAACACTGCACATCACCCTGAACAAACTATGCTAACCGTGAAACATGGTGGTGGGAGCTTCCTGTTGTGGGGATGCTATTCTTCAGCAGAGACAGGGAAGCTGGTCAGAGTTCATGGGAAGACGGATGGAGCCAAATACTGGGCGATCTTAGAAGAATACCTGTTAAGTCTGAAAAAGACTTGAGACTGGGGCGGAGGTTCACCTTCCAGCAGGACAACGACCCTAAATATACAGCCAGAGCTACAATGGAATGGCTTAGACCAAAGCATATTCATGTGTTAGAATGGCCCAGTCAAAGTCCAGACCTAAAGCCAATTGAGAATCTGTGGCTAGACTTGAAAACTGCTGTTCACAGATGCTCTCCATCCAATCTGACAGAGCTTGAGCTATTTTGCAAAGAATGGGCAAACATTTCACTCTCAGATGTGCAAAGCTGGTAGAGACATCCCCAAAAAGACTTGCAACTGTAATTGCAGCAAAAGGTGGTTCTACAAAGTATTAATTCAGGGAGGCTGAATACAAATGCACGCCACACTTCTCAGATATTTGTAAAAAATTTTGAAAACCATTTATTATGTGTGTTTGTCTATCACATAAAATCCCAATGAATACATTTACATTTTTGGTTGTAACATGACAATGTGGAAATTTTCAAGGGGTATGAATACTTTTTCAAGGCACTGGATACATAGCCAAACATTTGTGTACAGCTGTATGCAAAAATCTTCCGTGGAATAAACCATGCCATCTTTTCCTGAATAGCAGTTGTTCACCTCGATGTTTGTCTTCCATTACAATGCTACATACATCTAATATTAAAACATAAAAGCAACACCAATTCTTAGGTGTGAGGGTTGCATTAGTTTTCTATTTAGACTGTCACTCATCTGGTGATCCAGCCAGTAAGTCTTTCAAAAAGAACAAGCTCACTTCCAGATGTATGAGTTTTTTGGGATGAAACAAACCATTTACCACTTGACAGGGGTGCTTACAATGATCAGCTTTTATGTAAAACCTATATCTCCCCCCCCCCAAAAAAAAAAAAAATTGTATAGGCTGTAATTGCTTATAAAGTGTTATCTGAAGTGTGGCTTCAATTGGTAAAGAGTAACTATACTTTTGTTGAGAAAAACAACACACATTCCCCTCTGGGTGATCTATGTACATTGCAAGGATTTTAAAAAAAACTTTGTTGAAGACTTCCTTTTGTTAATCTGAAGGAATGGCAGTATGTCTGTGCCCATGTGCAGAGAAAATCTGCATGGGAGTGGTTTTAGAATTATAAATTAGATGCTGCACCTGCAGGGCTCCAATGAGGAAATTGGCATGGTCTGTAACCCTTTAGACATGATTTCTCTTTCGGGGTATCACTACAAAAAAAAAAAAAAAAAAAAAACTTTTTTGTAGCGTATGCAAAAAATCTGGCATTTTTTTTGTAGACTTTTTGGGAAATCAGTACGCCAATCACTGAAGCAGGAAATGAAAATTTAATTTTTCGGGGGTTGTCCTGTACACCATCTGCATATACACCTCCAGGTAGCCATTTATTTGTTTTTTTTTTTTTTTTTTTTTTTTTTTTACAGAAAATGACAGCTCTGCAGATTGAAAAGTAAAAGAAATTTTTAATAACTTTCAATTACAATATGACTTGACTAGCAATTGTATACACTTTTTTATATTTGCAAATTTTTTTCCCAGGTAAGTGGAGTTCACCTTTAATGTATTTAAATCTGATAGTACATCTAACACTACGTAGTGAAACACCACCATGTAAAGTGGGATTTTATATATGCCGCTGAGAGTCAGAAAACTAACTGTTAAAACCAATTAACAAAATGTCATATGTGACAAAGTGGCATCTCTCAGGACGTCAGATTAGAGTACATAGCTGGTCCCTAAACAAAAGGGGATGGTAGAGTTCACTACTCCAATGCCCCGAGAGATTTTATTGTTCGGCTGGGTTTTTGGAAACCTTTTCAAGCCCTATTAAGTGGATATGTTTTTTTTTTTTTTTTTTTTATTGTCTTTGAGCCTGTGACTAAATTATGTAAAACTATACATACGATCCTGAGGAAGCAGGGAAACCAACGAAACGCGTAGACCAACTTGTACCACTGTCCCATATGACATGTTTCATTGATTTTAACAGTTATGGTATTTACTTGAGAGCAATTTTATATGTGAACACTGTAATAAACGTTGTTTTTAACTATTTCCTGTCCAGCGATGTACCTGTATCTCACTGGACTCTTGGTGCTTATACCAGGATGATGACCTGTTTTTTTTTTTTATGGAACCGGCGGTCAGCTTTCTTGTATTAGCAATTGGAGTACCTAACTAGCCGCTTGATTGCAATTACAAGCAGCAGGAGGGGATGTCCCCCCTTCCCACTGCCTTCCGAAGCTTGCTCGGGCTCTCTCCCTCCCACTGGGAGGGCACATCCGCTGGCTGGACAGCCAAACAAAGCTGAGATCTGCTTTGATCGGCTCTCCATTATAGTAAACCAGAAGCGATGACCTGATATCGCTCAAAAGAAAACAATGCCATTTTTTAAAATCTTATAGATTTCTCCAAACCCACCATTTCAATTCTCTAGGGCCTTTGCTAAAAAAAATATAGTATTATATCTATTTATATATATATATTTATATTACTTTAATTATTTTTTTTATTGGGGTGTTTTCCCAAAGTCGATTTCTAGGAAAAAAAAATGCTGAATCGTTGCATTTGAACAAAAATGGGCTTGAGGTGTGGATAATGGGTGTTTCACATTTTCTGACTCCAAAAGAAGCATTTTATATAAAGTCCTCATTTTACATGTTGTTTGTGGGAGTTCAAAATTTCCTCCCGTATAGATTATACAAGGGTGCTACACCATTATACTATGTCTCCCTTAAGTGCAATCTAACCCCCTCCCAGCCAAACTAGTTTGCAGTCCAACGGTCGCCCCTTGTGCTCCTTCATCCACTCTAAAAACAAGGTGTATTAGTGGCCCGATAACCATGTAAAAGGCCTTTATGGAAATAAAAAAAAAAAACCTAAAGAAGCCAACCAAATCAAATTGTTTAAGCCTGTAATTATTCAAATTAAATTAAAAAATTTCGATTCGGGCTAAATTCCCCGAATTTGGGGGAGAAATTCGTTTCCCAATGCAAAATTTTATTAAACGCAAATTTAACTTTTTAAAAAAAGGTTTTTCTAGGCTTCAGAGAGCCTTTATATTGGGTTGCAAAAACACTGTACCTTTAATTTAAAAATGCCCTTGGAGTTTTGCTGGGGAAGAGAAATAATATTTGTCATCAGTATGACTTTGCAGTTTGAGGGGCCGTCGAACTTAAAAACACCGCCCCATTTTCATTTCTTTTTTGGGGCATCACGGGGGGCACACGAAGAAGAAGAAGAAGAAAAAGGGGAAAAAAAAAAAGAAAGAAGAAGAAGAAGAAGAAGAAAAGGAAAAAAAAGAAAGAAGAAAGGAAAGAAAAAAAGAAAGGGGAAAAAGAAAGAAGAAAGAAAATAAAGAAGAAGGAAAAAAAAAGAAGAAAGAAGAAGAAAAAAGGAAAAAAAGAAAAAAGAAATGAAGAAAAAAAAGAAAAAAAGGGAAAAAAAAGAAGAAGAAAAAAAAAAAGTTAAGGTAAAAAAAAAAGAAAAGGAAAAAAAGAAAAAAAAAAAGAAGGAAAAAGAAAAGAAGAAAAAAAAAAAAAAAGGAAAAAAAAAAAAAAAAAAAAAAAAAAAGGAAAAAAAAAAAAAAAAAAAAAAAAAAAGAAAGAAGAAGAAGGAAAAGAAAAAGGGAAAAGAAGAAGAAAAAGGAAAAGAAAAAGGGAAAAAAAGAAGAAGAAAAGAAGGGAAAAAAAAGAAAAAGGGAAAAGAAAGAAA